ACTTCCCATAAGCTGTAGCAGTGATATTGAAGAGAAGCTTGAAAAATCCTCTAATGTAGCTAATGTCCTCCGTGTGATTGAGAAGAAAGAATGCTCTCTGATTGATACCAGTCTTATTGCTGCTGTTGTTGAGGAGTTCAGAGTCACTGAAGCTGAGAGATACATTGAAGAGTATAAGGAGAAGTTGAGAGAATTCTGTCGGTCTATATCTGTCACTCTCTGCTTGAAGGAGAAGTTTGAAGCTAATCCTTCACTTCAATGTGAAACAGCTACCTATGTATTTGACTGGAGGCCTGATGAGAAGAAATTGAAAGATATCACTGATATTCTTTCCAAGACATCTGGAAAATTTGTTAAAATCAAGTTCATTGACACTGGATACTCCATTCTGATCACTTGCTCATTCCCTCACTCTCTCATTGGAGCTTTTATCACAAAGCTAATTGAAAATCTTGATGTATTAATGAAGAATGGCCTAAAGAAAGTTACCATTGGATGCTGTTTAATATGGGAGAAACAAAAATTAGAAGTATGTGAATCATCTTTATGTATTAATCATTATTTAGGAGAGGGAACAACTGCTGGAAGAAGATATAGATATGATTAAAGCCAATCAAGGAAATATAAGTGAAGATCCTTATGACTTACAAGTAATTTAATTGTGTGTATGCTATAGTAGTCACAAATTTTAACAGGAAAAGCCAGTTAGGATAGAGAAGAAAAAGAAACAGCTTGCAGCACCTGATTCTGGTGTACAGTCACTTGATACAAGTTTTGCTATTGTTACTTCACAACTAAAGAAAGAAAAAGAGACAAACAAGAGATTAGAAGAGAAACTACAAAGTTAGTATTAAACAGAAAATAATAATTATCATCAAATTATGTAATAGAAGTAAAAGAAAAGCACTGCATCCAGCATATGTTACTGTTAACTAATACTGACTCAGGTTAGAATAATAATAAATTATCATATTTAAACTGTGTATTAGCATTGAGTAGGATTAGGAGAGGAATGAGGATGGAGATAGAAGAATTGATATTATATTTGACAGCAAACAAATCTGGTATTGAATCATGTTGTATGTATCAGCACTATAGATCCTATAATAGATTTAGAGGATCAGAATGCAGCATTAGCAGAAAACAAGAGAGAGATAGAGTATTTGCAAGAACAAATATCATCAACTAATGTACAGTTACTCATGAAAAGAGAAAAGAACAAAGCCATGAAAGGTTAAGAACAGTATTGCATATAAACAGTACTGTTTTTCTTTGTCTATAGCTGATATGAAGAAAGAAAAGCAGGTTCTTTTCAAGTAAGCTAGGGCTTTTTAACATCATTTATAATTTTTGCTATCACAGTCAAGTGAAATTATTATCTGAGAAAGATGAGGCTAAAGAGAAAGAGCCTAACGTTGGAGATCCTGAAAAGATGAAAGAACCCACTGAGAAAAAAGTCAGAAATGATTTTTTTATTATCCTACTTTGTTTCTCCATTTTATTATTCAGATATTACCAATTGACACACTCCTCTTTGACCAACCGTTAGTAAAATTCTTTATACTTAATAACAGTGCAGTTGCACTAACTCTATTTTCTCCTATTCCTCACAGTTGGTTTCATGCTGAGTTAACTAGGGAAGATGCTGAAATGTTGCTGGATGATTACCAACACATTCCAGGAGCTTTTCTTGTCAGAGAAACTACAAGGAGTATACACTGTGCCATATCATTTATGTAAGTTGCACTTTGTCTTCCTTTCTTCTATTCTCTGTCGTTCTTTCTTTTTATGCAGTTTTCGACGAATGTGTAATCATGTGATGATTCATCAAAAATTGGAGAGAGATAACATGAAGTTTTATCTTCACCTTGATTTGAAGTTTGATTCAATTATTGAACTGATTGAGTATTATCGTCAATATCCAATTATTACTCTATATTTCAGTCAAGTGCTCACTATTGCTGTCCCTAAAATAGTGAGTAAAGCTATCATATTTTATAATTGTTTCACCTATCTTCTCTTTTTTATTTTCAACAAGGATGCATATGAAGCAAGACCATGGTTCAATTATGTTTCTAAAATGGAAGCTGAGCTTATGTTAAAAAGTGATGTGTCACTTGATGGTACTTTCTTAGTGCGTCCATCTAGTCAAGGATTTGAGGATGGAAAGGAGGCATTTGCTATTACCTTAAGGTGAATGAGAGATAGAAATTATGTAGCATTCTACATGTGTGCATTATATGTGCATGCTTCTATCATATTCCTTTAATTTTTATCTTTATACATCATGCCCAGAGCTAATGATAAAATACATCATATCAGAATTATTAAGGATAGGGAGCAGTTCACAATTGGAGGAGATACCTTTGACAGCTTAATAGAATTGATATACTATTATAAATATCAACCAATTTATCATGGCACTAAGCTTGCACATCCTATTAACAAAGAGATACTAGAGCAGAAAGTAAGAGAAGCCAGAAGATTATTATCATTATATTTTGGTGCTAGACTTTTAAGTTCATATTTTCTTTTTATGTAGAACCCTCATTGGCATCCATATGATTCTATTAAAGAGCCTCCTGTCACAGTATGTGCATCATACGACTTTAAAGCAACGGGAGCAAATGAGCTCTCATTTCAACGCGGAGCCCTTATCACTAATGTTGAGAAGATGGAGGGAGGCTTGTGGATTGGGGAGTATAAAGGATCTAGAGGTTGGTTTCCTGCAAGTTATGTCAGAGAGATACAAATTTCTTAGTTGTCATTGAACATTTACATGCATAACTTTATTTTTTGTGATATGACTTCTTTTTATTATGAAATTATGCGCAACCATTATTGCAATTTTAAGCTGAAAAGTATCCATAAAAGCAACAAAAAATAATTTCTTTGTTAAAGTTGCTCATTGCGTAGTTGATATAGCCAGGCACTAGCACCAGAGGCCAATATGGAAACTGTTATACAAAGTAGACAACCTGCAGGAACATAATACATTTTAAAGTCCTAAGTGGATCTTACCCCATCTTTTGAATCCTCTCTGCTTAGACTGCATGATTTCTTTAGTAGTGTCTTGGGTCTCTAAAAATCACCAAAATCACATGGCATTAATTATCAAATATACTTAATAGAAATAAATATAATTCTGTCTATTTTATTGATCATAATGTGTAAGAGTATAGCATTGATGAGTTCATCTACCATTAATTAATTGATACCTTCATCTTCTTGATTTTCTAATTCTTCTGTCTCTTTTCTTTCCATCCAAGCAGCTCTTCTCTTCTCTTTCTGTTCCTCCTTCAGCTTTTTTGCAATTCTCTTTTTTCTTTGCTGAGCCTTTTCCTTTTTGTGCTGCCGAGCTAACACATAGTGACAGAGAGAGGAGAAAACAATAGAAGAGATATTTCACTATAGTCTACCTTCTAGTTCCTTTCTCTCAGCCTCAATCTGTTCCTCGTGTGCTCTTTGTAATTGAGATATCAACCTTACAACCTACAGACAAAATCCATATTATACATTATGCATCAAAGAAAGTATTGATATATTAGGATAAGGAATGAAAGCAAATCAAAAATAAATGGAGCTTAGCTGAAAATTAACTTTTGTACATTAGTCTATGGGGAATCAATAGCCAAAGTATGAGGCTACCTTCTTAGCACAATCCTTGCATTCCTTTTCATTAGTGCAGTCTCCAGCTGCTTTCGCAATGTCCTCCCTGAGGGGGTTATCTCTCAAGTCCAGCCATTTGAGACGAGAGAGACTCGAAAAGCTGTAAGGTAATGTGATCAAAGCGTTGCCATAAAGATCGAGCTTTTGGAGTTTTTGCAGATCACCAAAATTCTCAGGGAGACTCGAGATGTTGTTTTTGCTGAAGTCGATTTCGATGAGAAACGCCAAAGAAGAAAATGATGACTATAAAGATTAAAAATGCATTTGTAAATGAGCATCATCTAGAGTACTAGATCTGTATTAATATACACAATGATCAATAGACTAATATTCTTAAAATTACCACAAAATTTTAATTTTTTTTACACATGGAACATAATGTGGTCACACCAATCGTCCTTGCATAATTAATATCAAACTCACTGGGACTTCGGTTATTTTATTTTGAGATAAATCCAGTCTATTAAAATTAGAAGCTCGGGTCTAAAATAATAATGAAAATAAACAATTGGTACTTGGTAGTGGACAATAAACCCTTTATCATAACTCACCAGTTCATTGACGGGGATTTCCTGCAAAAAGCACAGACTCAAATCAACAACCAAGCCATCAGTGTGCTCAGAGAGGAACTTCTTAGTCACCTTCTGTCCCTCTCCAGTGTGAACAGGGCCCGACATATTCACATTGGCATTGTAGAGGGCACAATTGCAAGCTCAGCCCCACCCCTTTTTAAAAGTAACACGTGGTTTCCGTACACTTCCGGACTCCAAAAAACACGTGTAGGTGGAGCCTATTAAAACGAGCCCCACCCATTTCGAAATGTCTGCAGTTGATGAGGAATTAGAAAACAAGCCAGTTAGACCTTGCACTGGATTAAGAACGGAATTATTAAAATGTCTTAAAGAATCGGAATGTTTTACTAAAGTGAGTTAAATATGAGTACAAATGTGGACTATTTACAAGATGATAATAATTAAAATTTAAAGCAATTATTATTATTAATAATATATAATTATTAATGAAGTATGTGGAATGATTGTATAAAGAGGAGGCAGAGAGAACAGTGAAAACAAATAGAATCATTACTATTGAAAGAGGAAGAGGTTTAGCTGCAACTTAATGTTTACAAACACTTTCCTGCAGTCTACATATTTCTTTCATACCCTAAATATGTACATATGAAATTAATGCTACATGCATACTTCTCCTTTCTCTCATCTCTCCTTCCTTTTTCCTACTTCGTTCTCTCTATGTCTCTCTCCTATCTCCATTTTATTATAGCATGGATTGACTCCAAGGCAATGTTTAGACTCAACATCACCTGGCTATGATCCGTCATGCCAATCTTTAGTTGTTGGTTTCTTTGAATGCAAAAGATCACTGGTAATAATAATAATGATAATAATAATAATAATAATAGTAATAATAACAATAAGAAATGCCTGAACCCATAGATATTTGATGTTTCCGGCTTTAATATCTACATGTATGCTAAACTGCATCCTTATCTTTATGTACTAGTTACCAAAACTAACTGATTTGAAGTATTTAATGAAGAATTAGTCATTATGGTAGCAAAATAGCATATGAAATGTAAAGGCGTGTCCACTATTAAAATTGAATTAATTTTACTCATCATTGTTGTGAGTGTGTTAGATTCAATTTTATATGGCTTCATTTGATGTAAGTTACGTAACTGGTAATGCATACATTGTAACCACTCATGTACCATATCTTCCTTGTCCAGCTTATGGTTTAACAGCAATTGAATGCTCATTGAATAGTAGATATTTCTTTTGTTGCCAATGGATGATTTACAAGGTAGCTAGGTAGCTACTATTAGTAGTAGAATGACTAGAATTTTTATGGCATCATGCTTACTATTGGTACATTAGGCGTGGCTGCTGAGCACATACTCAAGCATGTAATCATTGTAATATGATCTATGCTGATTACACTACAGAGTTCTTGAATTGTGCATTGCTCTATGTACTTGAGTCACCTCATTCTAGAGAATGATATAAAGATGATACTTGTTTAAAATTAGGCCAAAGGCCATGGATGTTGTATTTTGTCAAAAATGGCTAAGAGAGAATTTGCCATTTTTATAATTTTTTCTGATGCATATACATGTACTTATGTTGTGTAGAAAGTTTGAGCTGATTCCGTTAAAAATTGAATTTTTTACAAATTTTTTAAAGTTGCTCAAAAATTGGATGAAAGTCCCTGTACTATAGTACAGGGTCGTGGGCCGAATTTTGCCAAAAATGACTAGGAGAGAATTTTCAATTTTTATATTTTTTTCTGATGCATATACATGTACTTATGTTGTGTAGAAAGTTTGAGCTCATTCCAATCAAAATTAGATTTTTTATGAATTTATAAAGTTACTCAAAAATCGGATCAAAATCCCTGTACTATAGTACAGGGTCACGGGCCAAATTTCATCGAAATTGAAAAGAAGAAAAATTGCAATTTTTATAATTTTTTCTGATACATATACATGTACTTATGTTGTGTAGAAAGTTTGAACTGATTCCGATCAAATATGGAATTCTTACGAATTTTTTAGTAACTTTAAAACCTCAAAAACTGCAGACCATTTAAATGCCCTGTAGCTGCTGTTGTTATTATTATGCAAATCGCAAGAAGCTAATGAAATGTTTGTCTATTCTTTTATTAAATTACACCACCTTTCTTGGAGAGGCTATGATAATTAATAGCCATAAGTGAACACTCTCATGCAACCAGTAATACTGTCCTCCCTGTATTACCTCATTCCATCTTTACTTAAGTCAATTACAGTGAAGCATCGTACAGTAGCATTATTATATTATCCTGCCAGCAATAATAATACTCTTCTTGTTGGTATGGCTGAGGATTTTCCCTTTGCACTCCTACTCAGACATGCATGTATTTTCACTTATTTGGAGAGAGGAAGGTAGAGGAAGAGAGATAGAGTGCAGTCGTATCTTAAAAGATAAAGAGACAATAGTATTCAATAATTGTCATGATAAAATTACAATTAACAAGGGTCAAAAATTAGCATATTCTCATAATTTTTTGTCAATTCATGTACATGATGTATTGTAGTACGTATGTAGTACATGATTTAATGTTAATAAACATGTAGTTTCGAACATAAGGAAAAGGATATTGTAAATAAATACGATAATGTACTTTTGATCTTAGGTACACACACACAGTAGGGTTTTTCCTATTTAATTTACTTTTCCTGTCAGGCTGGCCCTTAGACAATTTGACATATACATGTACATGTATGTACAGTCTTTCATAATGATGCACAAGTGATTGGTGTGAATGATATCTGTGTAATATGAGTCAGATATCAATACTAGTCTAATCATTATTGCCCTGAGGCTATGCATGCACACACTGGGGATACACTGTATCCTATACTTTAATCTGCCCTGGTATTACAAAGCCATAATGAATCCTTCTCTCATGTACATCTCATTTTATGCACATGGAGTGATCTATATAGTGATCTCTATTATTATACTATTATGCTTTGCTATGCATGAATATGCAGTTATGCAGACAGTGGAGGTAATAAGTTTAAAATATCAATGTTGTTCAATATGCCATGGATGGATGAGTGAGAGTGATTGCTGCCCTTGTTATGTGTTGCTTCATAGACAGAGCTCCTAGCTATTTGATTATACTATTAATAGTACTACTGTAATTATAATATAATTATTGATTGTGGTCCATTAATTTACTGAAATTCATCATTTTTATTGTTATTATTATTCTTTATTGTTTATAGCTTGATAACAGACAGAGATTTCGAGGGCGAAAGGGCTACTAATCACAAACTCTATAATATACTAACGATTCTTCATATATTGTACTATTATTATGAAAAAATCAATTTGCATAAAAGCAATAATGATCACGTGATGCCCTGTAAGCACGGAGATATCCGGATGCGCGCGGTCATAAAAATTCCACACTGCACACACTGCCTCGTTCGGCAGAGACGAAGAAGGAGAAACTACTCCATTCCCTCAGCTAACCTTACGTGCCTCTTAGCACGATCGAAGACGACCCCACTCTCTCGGGACTCTCGAAGTATCAAAGAGATCATTAACGAAGACAATTCCGTCTTACCCAGACTCTTTCTCACATTTATATCAAGCCCTTGATATCCTCTCTATAAGACAATGGAAAACTCTAACCAGCTCCTGCACTTTCTCACAGCCGCCACCTCAAACCTCCAGAGCGCTCTAAGCCAACCCAGCAACGGGAAAAAGGTCAATCATAGAAAGTACATTCAAAAGAGGCTACAACGTAGCAATGGCTCAAACAAGCTCCGAAAGAACAACACAACAAAAACTGTCAGCAGTTCTTCAACTGCCTCGGTCACTACAGTAACAGGACCACGCCCACAACCAGTCGCAACCACCGCTGGGTCCGTTACTCAACAGCAACCAATGTACTGGCAACCACCGGCCATGACAAGCACTTACGAGCAGTACTACTTCTCTCCTTCTTCGTCTCCTCTTCCTCTCTCTTCTGCCTATTCCTCTCCTCCTTACTCTGCTTCTTTTAGTCGTCCGCCATCTTGTCCCATCCCTCCTCCTGTCTCACAGGAAGAGGATGAGTTAGAGAGCCTACTCACTGAAATCGGTCTAAACGGCTCAACCAATCCCGTGAGTAATATGATGATGGCTCCCACTCATACCACAAGCCATCCACCAGTCTCCGTGGCAACTACATCGTCCTCTCTATCAGCCACGAGCCTTGATGTGTATCTTCCTTCGGACTCCCCTCTCTCTGACTTCTCCGACATCGATGACTCAGTCTGTTCTGCTTATTCCTCGCCCCGTAACCCCTCCCCCGTCTGCTACCCACCCACTGCACCATCTCCCCACGTTCAGTCCCGTGTAGCCACAGCATCTTGCGAGTGGCTCCAGCCGACTATGTTAGGTGGATCCAACTCTGTAGGTGGTACTGGAGTATTGCCAACTTCTTACGATGCGATGCCCAATTTGGGACCTTCTCTGAATGATTGGAACTTTTCTCAGCTCAGCGATCTTCATGTCTTGCCATGAGTCTTGTAGTTGTTGATTGTCGCCATCATCATCGTCGTCATCTGTTGTTTATGTTTCAAACTAAACTTATATTTGTTTGTCTTTTCCAATTTATACATCCTCTCCTCCCTCCCCTCCCCCCCCTCTCTCTCTCTTTTCTTTTACCACACCCTCATCACAACTCCAGGAGCCAATTTGGCTCTCTGGCTCGAAGTCAATATTAAAAAAATAATCAAAAAATCATTATAAAAATTATTTTTGTCGTGTGTGTGAGATGTTGTGCCCAATTATAATTGGCCTGAGGCTTATAGGAAGAGATTAGCTGATCATTATGTGATTATGCAAAATGATCTAATCTCTTAAGGCATTCCTATTAACTTCAGCACTTTTATGTTCTTTTAAAGTTAGCCCCTATAATAATCAAAAATTAATAATGTAGGTGTGGTTGTGTTGACGTTCCGCCTACAAAATGGCTACCAAAGGAAAGGTATTGCTCACAGGAGCCTCAGGACTGCTCGGTCGTCAGATATACCAGTGCCTCAAGAAGAGCAGCTGGGAAGTGATGGGGCTCGCCTATTCCAGGGGAGGCGAGGAGCTGGTGAAGGCTGATCTGCTAGATTTTGAGAAAATGAGGGAAATCATGACTGACTTCAAGCCAGCCATTGTGATACACTCAGCTGCTGAGAGGAGACCAGACAAAGTACAGAAAGATGAAGACAAGGCACGTGGACTGAATGTGACAGCAACGCAAGAACTCACGAGACTCTGTCAAGAGTTGGGGAGTTTTCTAGTGTATATAAGCACAGACTATGTCTTTGATGGGACCTCCCCTCCTTATCGCCATGACGATGCCCCAAACCCCCTCAATACATACGGCCAGTTAAAACTAGATGGAGAGAAAGCCGTTTCGAGCTACATCGATTCTGCTATTGTTAGGGTACCCATTTTATACGGGCCGGTTGAGACTTTAGACGAAAGTGCCGTCACTATTCTATTTAAAGCCCTCCTCTCAAACGACCCTGCTCCAATGTCAGATTATGAGAAACGCTACCCAACACACACGAGAGACATTGGGGTCTTCCTTGAAGCCTTCTCTTCCAAGGTTCTCACCGATAGGGAGATTTGTCGTGGTTCTTGGCACTTTGGAGGATCTGAAGTTTTGACAAAGTACGACATGGTACTGAAAATGGCTAAGGTTTTTAAATTGAGTTCCAAACACTTGATACCTGTTCGAGAGCCTTCGGGCGGTGCCCCACGACCTTTCAATAACGAGTTTGACTATTCACAAACTAAGAAGCATTTCACAATGGATATTACTTCATTTGAAGATGGGATAAAGACAGTTTTGGAGCCATTTCTGCCGCCAAAAGAATAGCTTAGCTTTGCAGTTATTGCCTATTTAGTGATGCTTTTGTGCAGGAGGTGAGATTTTGAATATGTCACTCAATTGTTTCTAATTATAATGATGCTGTCTTACGTTTGAAATTTGATCTTACTCACTTTTTTGTTTAAATTATAAAAATAAATAATATCATGTGACAATACATTAGCCATTTTTGCTTCAAATTTTTAATTAAATTTGCTGCTGTACATTAATCATACCCAATGCTCCTGTTCTGAGGCCATGGTGTGGTATGATTTTTAAATGGAGAACACTTGCAAATTTTCACAACTGATAATCAAAAGAAGGGAATACATATACTGGTACATACTTGGAAACTGATGGTTGATGAAAACTTATCAGAACTCAATTTTACTACTATAAGGCATAATTAGATAGAGATTGAGGTTGTCATGCATATGGCCACTGTTGCATTTACTCTTGCTGAATGAGCAGAAGAATTTTCTTGGTTTTTGCTGTTTGCTAAAATTTTCACCGCATCAATATAAATTATTGGTTGCCTCATTGATAAGAGTCAGCACTGTAGAGTCCTGTGGGCATATCTATCCATCAGTGTGTACTGTAAACAGGCTGATGAATTCTCTCATGATTGCATTCTTAAAATAACTGACTGGATTCCTGTGGGTGACTGTACTCGTGAATACACTCCACCTTCAAAGCTTTTAGCATCCTGTGTCCCTCTGCAAAGACAGAAAGAGAGCTTAGGAAAAAAAAGAAGAGAAAAGATTGTCGAGGGTTTTTAAGATGGAAGAAAAGTCCGGGGTAGAGATGCAAGCTGCTGTGAGCGAAGCAAAAGCATGGATCGAGGTAAGCGAGTGCTTTTACTATAAATGCGGTTTGAAAAGAAGCCGTTCTGGCTCTCCCCTTTTCACCCTCTGCTAACTACAGGCTGTTACTGGGAAAACACTGAGAGGAGAGTTTAGAGAGTCGCTGGAAGACGGTGTGGTGCTCTGCGAGTAAGTATTTAGAGTGAGAGAAACCAGAGGAGAAACCTTTGAAAATTTAATTCAATATTATAATTTACTATGCTTGCAATAGCTTGTGCAGACTCTTTGTTATCACTTTGTTTCACCCTCACTCTCTCTCTTGTAGGCTAATAAATACACTGAATCCTGGCTGCATTCGTAAAATAAACATGAAGAATATAGCCATCGCTCACTTGGTGAGAGAAAGAATGCTGCACAGAATATTTAACTTTCTCTCTTTCCTCCATTTCCGTCATATACACACACTCACTTCCACACCCTATAGGACAATTTGAAACAGTTTTTGACTGGTTGTGAAGCACTTGGGCTCAAAGACAGTCAGCTTTTTGACTTGACTGACTTGCAAGCTCCTGGTACCCTGAGAATGAAATCAGGAGGGTAAGTGCTAATCACTGTGTGTCAACAAGAATTTAATTTTAGATTCAATTTATTAAGTTTCGAATCTCACTCTTTCTCTCCCCTCCATCTCTCTTAGAGTGAAGCATACAACGGCTGAAAGAAGGCTAAGAAATGTAATACCAACACAGCCCACACTATCATTAAGCAACATAACTCTATTTCATCATTACCCCCTCTCTCTCTCTCTCTTCCTGAGCAGGTGGTTATAACTTTGTACTGGCTAGGGAGGAAAATATTCTTATCTCAAAGCTACCACGGGCCACAGCTGAACCTCGATGCATTCAAAGAGATTCTTGATATACCAGTAAGCCAGCCAATCACAGCATGATAAAATATGTAATACCAGTAAGCCAGCCAGTCAAGAGTACAACACAATATGCAGATCAACACATGTACATGTACATTTACGCCTACACAGACACATGCTCATTCCACATTGATGCAAAACACTAGCTACACAAGGAAGCAAGTTTGTAATGAATCCATAAAACACGTATAGATTAGCTCCTCACACTCTGATAATGCTACCCAAAGGAGGCAATGTGTATTACGAGTATATGGTAAAGCATGCTTTATATGTGTACATAAACCTCGCTTAATCTTATTAACTGGATGAACTGTACTATGTATGATGAGCTGTACCTGACACATTATAAATATTTGCTTATTATTATGTCATACGTACACTTTGTCCTATATTTTAAAAGTAATCGCATTATAGCACTAATCAAGATTCCTCTGACTTGTTGATGCATGGAAATCAGTCACAATCCTTTGATTAATTTGATTTTTTTTTAAAGTAGAATGTAGTGTTATTATAGTATCCTTTAGTGTGAAGTAGTGGAGTGTTGACAGTGACAGGATTAATGTATCATTGTATGTATGGATATACTCACTTGACACCTGCTAATAGTGGTGTCTTCCCTCTATAAATTGAATGTTATTTGCCAAACCCAAAGGACACCTGGCCCAGTACATTTTCTGTACCCACACTCTCCTCAATCACATACCTTGGATTGCACATTGCGTGGCTAACTCTTTCAATATTAAATCACAATTACTTTCACATCATTATCTGCTTGCTACTATTGAATTATTTAAATTGGATTTTTATTTTGATTAAACTAAAAGAGCTTCTGTTTATACCTATTTATCCCATATTGCCTAGCAAAAAGCTGTTTCTCATAAATAAGAAATAAACCTGGCTTTATTTATCCCTCTTTCCATTCAAACATGCTCTTGTTCCTCCATCATGGCATAACACTCATAACAAGGCTAATTTTTCTCTGAAATGTTTATACGAATAGCATAAATTTTTACTCCTTCTCTCCAGTTTCTAAGCTGTAATTACATACTGGAGCTAATCATAGATCCATGGTTTAATTGTGTGTGTATGATTGTGTCTAAATATTGACATATCACCTCTTAGTGACTGGTATGCGATGTAAAGGTATTTTCAATGCACTTAATGTGTAGGTGTGTGTGGTGTTAAACAAGCTTACTAGTGAGTGATGGAATGAGAGTATGTTTGTAGGTACATGTGTACATACGGATGTACTGATAATGTGTGTGTGTGTGTGTGTGTGTCATTCAATGTGCAATGTGTCTATAACAGTTATCACTGGTTTGTATAGTATCTAATGTGTTATGTGATATACTAGGAGGCTTCCTATTGCATGTGTGTATACATAAACATGACATAATGTGCATTCATGGCACTTTAATGCATTAGCAGTAATGTACCATAGAGATATTGTATTACTGTTTATGCATACATGTACATGCATGTATTGCAAATATGAATTTAGAATATGCGCATGTTCTTGTATTGTTTGTGTGTCCTTTGTGATTGCATCAGATTACAGTTGATCACGTTTATTTTAATTTTTTCCTCTTATTTTTTAGAGTCAGAATTATTACCTGAAGGGATATGACGATAATCCCAGCCCGGTTGCTCCAAGGGCTAGCAGTGTAAGAATTATGTTTACTCTCCTATATATGTATCTCTTTCTGTTAGCCTTTCAATCTTTATATACATGTATCTCAACCTCTTTCATTTTCATTATTACTTTTGTATAGTTTCTTTGTTTGTCATTAGTAGTTTGTCCTATTATCACTTTCATGTGCATAAATCTCTCCATATAATGCTGTTATAGTTATCATAAGTTATGCATGACGAGAGCTTTCACATGAGAACAGCATTTAATTTGTGATCTAATTCATCAAACATTTCTTAAGAATTGAACTTGCATCCCTAGTGCATTAAAATTGGTGCTGATGGAATGATGGTATGTAACTGTTTGGACTTCATATCAATGCCAGATTATGTTCAAGTATGAAGGAAATTAGTTTTAGAGTGAATTTTTAAAGCTTTAGATCTTTTGCATTCTGTTGTTCGAATTTCAGTCAAAGTTTGTTGATATTCCTATTGTCCCATTTCTATACACATAATTATCATTTACTTCTCTCCCCCCTCTCTCTTTATTACAATTGGCAGATATCTAAACAACCAGTAGCAACAAAGCCTCCTCCACAGGCACTCCCAGCCACCAGCAATCATACCCCAGCAGCTAAACCAATACCACCCCCTACCATTAATCCACCAGTCAAGGCTAAACCTCTGGAAAATGGAGGAGAGGACAGAGAGCTATCAGCTGATGAGTTGCTGGCCAATATACAGTCGGTTGTTGATGAGTTGCATCTCGACTATTCATCGAGCAATGGTGGCTCTCCTGAGGTGAGTTAATTGCCCCAAGGGATTTGGTGTCCTTTATTGTGTCAAGGAGTTGATGATATTATTATAAGACAAGACAAACATAAGGAATTCTTTTATTCTGTTTGTATAATGTCCTCAGCTTTACTGCATGACTGGGTTTAGTATATGCAACTATTCTTAAGGCCATTGATGAACATAATGTATCATTTATTAAGTACACATGCTACCAAGAGTTGATGCTACATGCAATAAAGCATTACTATTAGCATTATTATTTATTAAATATCAATAGAATAACACAATAGATGAATAGAGAAATAAACACTATTTGTCATTCATTCCAATGCAAACACTGTAGGCCTATAATACTCTTAATACAGATTAAGACTCACATGCATTAGTGATAATACTGTAATTGATTTCTTTAAAATAATGTGCAATTCACAATTCCCTTCTTTATAACACTCTCTATTCCCCATTAGCAATTCCACAGAGGCCAGCCAACAACAACACACTCAACCCCGTCTCCATTGCTATCAACTCCTCCACTAATATCTGGCTCACCCATCACTGATAACATTAGCTTCAATGCCACCATTAGGACCAACAAAGGAGGGAGCTTTGGACTACAGATTATTGGAGGGGCAGACACTTCTGTGCCTGCTCAGATAGAACTATTGCTACCAGGTAATAAAACAAACAAACAAACAAACAAACAAACAAATAAATAAACAAACAAACAAACAAATAAATAAATAAATAATGTAGAGCATATGTGCACATACATAACTACGTACATGTGCATGCATACCTGTAGTTTTTGATGATTTGTTAATAATCATGTATGGTAATTTGTCTTACATATTATTCAATAGTCCCTCCCTTTATAACAATTGTATCTGAGTGTAGGAGGTACTGAGTCCATCATTAATGCATGTATTACCATCACCATTATACTGACAATCTATATGTATGCATGTCATCATTGCTTGATAAAGAAGTAACAGCATACCACAGTAGTGTAGCTATGCTGTATCCAATGTCTTAGTGCCTAATGCTAGTGTGGTACATGAGGGAGTAGATGTATCTGTGGTATTTTGTGTGGGATGTGTATGTGACATACTTGCATGTGTTCTTGTTGTTTTGTTTATAATGTTATATGTCAAGCAGTAATTATGCAGTAATTAAAAGAAGCATTCTTCACTAAATAAATTGTTTTAGTATAAAGTACATTGTCGATGACACGAGCAATATAATTACATTTTGTATTTCTCAACTTTAAATTCATGGTGAAGTACTTACACCCTTATGTACTCTTGCACATAGTAATCTGATTATAGTAATGTACCGGTAAATGACATTTTCTCTCTACTCTCTTTCTCTCTCTCCTCTTTTGTACTATCTTTTTTTCATCTTTCCTTGTCTCAATTTTTCAATCTTCTCACCTTCCATTCCTTTCCTTTTCTCTTTACCTTTCTTTCTCTCTCTCTCTTTCTCTCTCTCTCTTTCTTTCTAAAGGTGGTCCTGCTGAATCCAGTGGCCTCAGACCAGGAGATCTCATAGTATCGATTAATAATCAAGACGTATCGGGACACAACCACTTTGATCTCATCTCCCTCATCAAACAGAGCTCTGCCAATGGTAGCGTTGTCATGGGAGTTGTCAGGAGACCTCCTTCAGCTGGTAAGGAGAACATAATTGAAATAATTATTTTTATTTTTTATTTTTTAGATGAAGGAGACGAGAATGTGCCACAAAACTTTTCAAGAACCGAGTCTCAGATTATATGGGAGGAGGAGCATGAGGAGAGAGAGAGGCAGCGTAAAGAGGTTGCACTGCTTTACAAGCAGGACAACAGGAATATTAAAAAAGAGGAAAAGGAGGAAGAGGAGGAGGAGGAGGAAGACTGGGAGGGTATGTTGGATGAACAGCTCCAGTGGCAGAACTCGGAATCAACGAAACCACTCGAAGATCTTCAGCAAAAGCTTGACTCGCTCCGACACTTGGCAGAGCGGAAACCTCCGTCAGTTGGTATCTCAGCAATGAGTACCATAGAGCCAGCAAAGGAAGAACAAAAAGAAGAGATAATGGGAGCAGCTGAGAAGGAAGAACCAAAGATTGATGAGAGAGTAGAGGAGGTGATTGAAGATGGTGCTACTCCTGTGGCATCTGATGATGAAGAAGTTGATTTGGTTGAGAATGTGAGAGGAGAAGGAGAAGGAAGAGAGGCTGACCCTGTGGTTACCATACCTCGTGAGATCACTCCGCCTAACGTTGGGCCCGAGGAAGATCCTTTTGCACCACTCACAAAATCCTCAAGCGACCAATCAGAATTGTTACAAGAGGTGCTCTCGGCTAGAACGAGTCTAACAAACGGAATGGGGACAGAAAAAATGACGACAGTGAGTAGTAAGCAGATGTTTAATAACAGCGGGACATGGTCCTCAACTTCGACTGAGAACCAATCAAGATTACGTCAATTTAGTACGCCCAATGCAAGAGTCATTTCACTTGATTTCAGCGGAGAAGAAACCACAGAGGATGTACAAGGAGGATGGAAAGTTAAGGCAGTCCAGAAGACAAGGTGGACTCCAGAAATGAAAGATAACAGGAAAGTGACGCCAGTTCGAAGCCAATCACTTGCTATGCCGAGAGTCACGCCCCAAACCACGCCCCAAAGCACAAGCTACTATACGCCTAATCAATCAATGCCAAGGACGACGGACAAGAGAATGAACTCATTTTCAAGGGGAGTGGCAGGGGGAGGAGCAAGAGGAGCATACGAGAAGCATGAGGTAGTAGTTACTGATTTGAGGGGTCGGTCTTCAAGTTATGGAGCACCAGAAGAACATAAGATGCAGCACGTAAGTGATGGCATTATATACATGTACATGTATCAGTCAGACATTGCTCAATTGGAGGGTTCTAAATCACTATGTATACTACTACATGAAATTATTTAGAAACCACCAGTAACCTCCTAGGAGGTAAATTTCATTGTAAAACTGTCTATCTAGCAAGCTTGGTTGATCATTATTATTCTTTATTATAGGCAAATAATTTCACAAAACTTGTAAAAATATTCTTATAATCTTAATGATTAAATGTATTAAAATTTATACATTATGTATGTATGCTAGTAGCTCATATTCCACACTTAGTTTGTGTGTGTTAAAGTTATTTTTTATTTGCTCTAATATAGTTTCAAGCTCGTCCCAGTAGTGGTCAGGTTCACAGTGTCACTAATAGCAAAAGACCACCAAACTGCACTCACTGCAGGTAAGTCATTCATCATAGATAAAGCATGCACATATATACATATTCGTCTAATATTTGAGCTAATGCTAATCAAAATTAATTTTTTAAGAATTTAGTCAAAGACTCTTCACCGTCTATGCTATTCAAAAATTGGGTCAAAGTACATGGTCTCAGGCCAAATTTTGTCAAAATTGAAAAGGAGAGAATTCTCACTTTTTATATTTTTTCCTGATACATATTCGTGTTTTTATCTTATGTAGAAAGTTTGAACTAATTTCGAACAAAATTATATTTTTTATGAATTTTTGAAGTTACTCAAAAATTGGACAAAAGTCCCTGTACTATAGTACAGGGCCACGGGCCAAATTTCGCCAAAATTGAAAGGGAGAGAATTCTCCATTTTTATAACTTTATGTGATACATACATATGTTTTTATGTTGTGTAGAAAGTTTGAGCTGATTTCGGTCATAATTGGATTTTTTATGAATTTTTAAAGTTATTCAAAAATTGGACAAAAGTCCCTATACTATAGTACAGGGCCACGGGCCAAATTTCGCCAAAATTGAAAAGGAGAGAATTTTCACTTTTTATATCTTTTCCTGATACATATTCATGTTTTTATTTTTAGTAGGAAGTTTCAACTAATTTTGAACAAAATTGGATTTTTTATGAATTTTAAAAGTTACTCAAAAATTGGACAAACGGCCCAATTTTGCCAAAATTGAAAAGGAGAGAATTCTACATTTTATTAACTTTTTATGATACATACATATGTTCTTATGTGGTGTAGAAAGTTTGAGCTGATTCCGGTCACAATTGGATTTTTTATAAATTTTTAAAGTTACTCAAAGATTGGACAAAAGTCCCTGTACTATAGTACAGAGCCATGGGCCAAATTTTCAAATTTTTAAATTTCAAATTTTTGATGATGGTAGCTATTAATAAAACACTAGTAGCCATCTTTATCAGGAGGATTCTCAGCTGTAAAGCAGTAACTTTTTCATCAAAAGTGGCCCATGTTTAGAAGTTTTATAGTATGACATAATGTCTATTTTCTCCCTCCATTGTTGTGCTAGGAGTCCCATTACTAGTGGACCAATGATGTCCATTCCAGCAAGAAAGATTCACTTTCACTCAAAATGTCTCATTTGCGTCGTCTGTCGATCTCGTCTCACTCTGGGCCATGGACGAACAACAGTGTTTCTCCGACACTCCCTCCCTCACTGTGCCTCCTGCTATTCTACTGATAATGGTGAGAAGAGGAGGAGGAATGGAGGGAGAGAGAGAGCATTTCATGTGTGTAGAGAGAGAGAGAGTTGAAGGAGGAAAATGAGGGACTAATTTAAAGAGCATATTATTCAAGTTCATTATTGACAGCTGAACATAAATGTGTCACTGAGCTTACATGTAAAATAACAAATAATAAATTACATGTAAAATTACTGATAATGGTGAGAAGAGGAGGAATGGAAGGAGAGAGAGAGCATTTCATGTGTGTAGAGAGAGAGAGAAAAATGAGGGACTAATTTACGGACTATAATAGATAATTTTTTTACAATGGCAAAAAAGAGACTTGAAGGGAAAAATGAGAGATTAATTTAAGGACAATATAATAGAGCCTTTTTATCCTGGCACATTTTTTAAAGCATATGTCAAGTTCATTAGGCATTTTTGACAGCTGAAATAATGTGCATAAATGTGTCACTGAACTTACATGTAAAACCTTGATTCAAAAAAATTTTTTTTATTTTTAAATATTTAGGTATTAAAGCTACAACATGCTAAATTACAGATCCACTTACAAATAAAGAAATTTATTTCTTCAAAAATGAATGATTTCTCTATATTTCTAACACTTTCACACTAATTCTTAACCCTGATGCAATTGCCAATACTTATTATAAGTAACAATTAATAATTATTATTACTTTATACTTATTTAATATTACTTTGTGTTTTGTATGAATGCTATTAGTGGTTTCATTAATTAACTGCAAAAATATCATTCTATACTAAAAATGCATCAAAACCAACACACCCAGTACAACCTCCTACACATAGCAATCAAGGGTGTAGTCCCCATTTTCAGGGACTGCCCTGAATTATACTGCATAGAAATTCAATTAAATGCCAAGTTACTACAGGGCTAGCTACAACAACAGCTGCAATCAACTGTTTTATTTTCCATGAAAATAATTTGTATTTCATAAAGATCACTGCACAACAAAACTGAAGACATATCTAATGACATTATGACATGTTA